AGCCAAAGTAAGGTGTAAATAATTATACAATTTTTACATTCATCATCAATATAGGTTAAAAGACACATAAACATTATATATAAATTACATCAGTACTTAAGCACTGGCCACTGAACTAATGTACGACTGCAGTGTGTTCTATATTCTTAGCACGCTATAAGTGGAATGCAAATTACTGGATGAATCCTTCTATCGAAACTGTCGCCAACACTAAGTAATTGTCTTTCAATAGAACAAATACTTAGACCATAATTTCAGAGTTTTTGTCAGTCAAAATTAAAAACGATAGAATTTTTCATAATTTGCTACAATGTTATTTTCAAAATCATAATAAATGGTAATGATCCATCCAGCTACTTCAAGCTACAGGTTGTGCAAAATGGTACGATTTTGTAAGATGATACATGGTAAAAATATTCTGTATGAACAGGAAGAAAGCAAAACGATAGGATTACTTAGTTCACTCAGTCGACAAGGACCTTTTTGCATCAAAAATGGCTAAACAATAAAGAGTATAAATGTGCTATCTAGACCAACATGCATCAGACGTTAAAATGCGATCAAAATAGTCACGTGAGGGAAAAGAAATACGATATTTGTTTACAACCTTGAAAGCTCTATACACACGATATTGGTTTTGCTGTTCCGTTTTACCCCCCCCCCCCCCCTTTCCCCCCCCCCCCTTTTTATCCCGCAATATAATAATATGAATAATATAATATTATTCAATAATAAATTTTAAAAACCTCATATTTTTCATCGAAGTTTCTTTTTTTTATCTTTATTTTTATTTAATTCTGAGACATACAAGAAACCTGAAAACACCCGGTGTTTACATTTGACCCCAGGAAGCATACATATTGTTTAGTTGCCAAAGACCATAACATAATCTCGCGGAATTTTCGTTTTATGAAATTTTGCAGCTAAATATTAACTGAAATAAACAGATTTGTTTTTTTTTTCATTATAAAATAAAGATATGTTTACCTCTTGTTTCGCATGTGAATACGACACTGTGACAGTGTTTTTAAATAAAGCATTATTATTGTTATTATTATTATTGATGACCGTATTTAGTTGAAGCTTTATCTACAAATTAAGTTTACCTGGTCGTATAAATAACGTGGGCGTAACGCGGAGCAGCCAATTTTGTGTATCAATGCGTTTGCGCCAAAGAAGATTATACATGTTATACTGGTTGACGATATATATTAGAATTAAGGGCATACGATACAGTTACAGGGGAGTTGTTTACGTCGCTAACGTAAAATATTATTTTACGCGACGTCAAACTGTGAAATATCGGGAACAGACGCATTTTGCGAATGATTTTAATCATTAGCTTGAAAACGAATACATGGACCCCTCTTTTTTAAAATAGCATTTGACTTAATTATGTATGATGATTATTTGAACCAATTTGTATAAAGAAATCACCAATGAATTTTTTTTTATAGGGATACATATACTCAAAAAATGCCGATGTTTTCTAAAATCATGAAAAAAACATAACTAGAGGCTCTAAAGAGCCTGTGTCGCTCACCTTGGTCTATGTGCATAATAGGCAAAGGACACAAATTGTGTTTTGGTGATGGTGATGTGTTTGTAGATCTTACTTTACTGAACATTCTTGCTCCTTACTATTATTTCTATCTATAATGAACTTGGCCCAGTAGTTACAGTGGAAAATATTTTGTAAAATTTTACAAAAATTTACAAAATTTATGAAAAGTGTAAAAAATTGACTATAAAGGGCAATAACTCCTTAAGGGGTCAATTGGCAATTTTGGTCATGTTGACTTATTTGTAGATCTTACATTGCTGTACATTATTGCTGTTTACAGTTTATCTCTATCTATAATAATATTCAAGATAATAACCAAAAGCTGCAAAATTTTCTTAAAATTACCAATTCAGGGGCAGCCATCCAACAACGTGTTGCCTGATTGGTCTGAAAATTTCAGGGCAGATAGATCTTGACCTAATGAACAATTTTATCCTGTCAGATTTGCTCTAAATGCTTTGGTTTCAGAGATATGAGTCAAAACTGCATTTTACCCTATGTACTATTTTTTAGCCATGTCGGCCATCTTGGTTCGCGGGCGAGGTCATCAGACACATTTTTTAAACTAGATACCCTAATGATGATTGTGGACAACTTTGGTTAAATTTGTCTTACTAGTTTCAGAGGAGAAGATTTTTGTAAAAGATTACAAAAATTTACGAAAAATGGTTAAAAATTGACTATAAAGGGCAATAACTCCTTAAGGGGTCAACTGACCATTTTGGTCAAGTTGACTTATTTGTAGATCTTACTTTGCTGAACATTATTACAGTTTATCTCTATCTATAATAATATTCAAGATAATAACCAAAAACGGCAAAATTTCCTTAAAATTACCAATTCAGGGGGCAGCAACCCAACAACGGGTTGTCAGATTCATCTGAAAATTTCAGGGCAGATAGATCTTGACCTGATTAACAATTTTACCCCGTCAGATTTGCTCTAAATGCTTTGATTTCAGAGATATAAGCCAAAATCTACATTTTACCCCTATGTTCTATTTTTAGCCATGGCGGCCATGTTGGTTGGTTGGCCAGGTCACCGGACAAATTTTTTAAACTAGATACCCAAATGATGAATGTGGCCAAGTTTGGTCAAATTTGGCCCATTAGTTTCAGAGGAGAAGATTTTTGTAAAAGTTTACGGACGACGAACGCAGGACGCAGGACGATGGACGCAGGACGACGGACGCCAAGTGATGAGAAAAGCTCACTTGGCCCTTTGGGCCAGGTGAGCTAAAAACAGAGCATCATATGTAACATGAATTGACTGAATAAGCAATCCAGCTTCATTTCCCCATGTCCTATTCAAAATTTAAAAAAACGCAAAATAACATACTATTTCAGCTTTAATAGCAATAGAGTTTGGTTTGGTTTTTGGGCATGTAGTCGGCTATGTTTACATCCAGTTTGACATTGCCTTCGTTTCTAGTTGTTCTTTAATTCCTTTGAATAAACTTCATTAATGTCGGAAGACGTTTTCTTACTGCAAGATTCATAATTTGACATGGAAACTATTTCTTTATTATATATATATCATATTTCCACACAATACAACACATTATTTAAACAAATGTATTATAACTTGCATACTGAAAAGAGATTAAAAAAAGATGTTTTATGCGTATTTTATGCGTCAATTCACTGTTAGAGAACGCAAAGATACTGATACAGTTGACTTTGTTGTTTGTGACTTTACCAAATTTACAAAACACATTATGCATGTTCACTTTTGTTTAGGGAAAAGTGATGGGTGGCATTTTTTTCATATTTTTCATTCTTTTCATTACTGTTGTTTTTGCTGTTGTTATTGTTGTTGAAATACAGGGAAATGTCTAGAACACATCAATAAGACAGCAACACATCGACACTTCAAATATATCCACAGTGAACATACAGTTTTCAACAACAGAAAATTGTCAAACTCTAAAACTTTCTTTACGTGGGACAAGCACAAGAACACGTGACTGGTAAAATAGGTTTACTGACTAAACCAACCCTCTTTCTTTACGTTTTGCTTAATGGAAACACAAAATGTGCAATTAAGAACGTGCAGTGAAACTCAGTTCAGAAAACGATTGTTTAATGCCTTTTTATTGACACATTTTGCTATCTTCGTGCACGTGTCCATTGATAAATTATTTAAATAACAGCTCAAAATTTTAGATATAAAGGCCGTCACAACTGATACAAATAATTATACATCCAAAACTAAAATATCCATCAGGACACGTCCAACGGATTTGGTTTAAAGACGTCCCAAACAGTTGGAGAAAGACATGATCTTGTGCAATACCAAGATATAAGTATCGACATAATGAAGGACCGTAAGTGTTCATAGCTTTAAAGCAAAACAAGAGTGCTACATGCACAAAAAAGAAAACAACAACTACTTACATATATACAGAGTGCAATTAAACACATATTTGCAACAAAAAAAGAGAAAGATTTCCTTAAATACAACCTCAATATCATAAACTAGAGGCTCTCAAGAACCTGAAGCGCTCATCTGTCACATTTTGGATTTATCTTTCATCATTTTTTTTAAAAAATTAACAAACACGATGAACAAATTAAGAAAAATTGTAGGTAGATCTTGACCTTTTGAACACTTTTAACCCGTCTCAGAATTGCTCTAAATGATTAAGTTTTTGAGATATCAGCCAAAATCTGCATTTCACCCTCGTACTATTTTTAGCCATGGCAGCCATGTTTTTTTACAAATCTCTCAATAAAACACAAACTTTATACTAAGTACCCTAAGGATCATTCAGTATAGAGTGTGGCTTCAATTGGTTGAATAGATTCAGGGAATAAGATTTTTTAAAGTTAACAAACATGATGAACAAATTGTGAAAAATTGTCTTGAAAGGGCAATAACTCCTTTATCTTCAACAAGCATTCTGAGAGTATTGCATGGCAATACATAGTCCCCTACCAGGTAAACATTCATTATACTGGAACAAAATGCTAACTTGTTCTATAACTTCTCATGGTGTAAACAAAAAGAAAATATCAAGTCAATATCTTCAAGAATGACTAAAAACAGTGTGGAAAACTGATTATATGAGTGAATCTTTCAAGCCCAAGTACTAAAACTTTGCACAAAATTATCAGACCAAAACAAAAATTTAAACTTCATCTGTAACTTGTCATGATAAAACTATATACCAATTATCAATCAATATCTTCAAGCATGATGAAAAAAGTGTGGAAAACACTCTAACATTGGATATGATTAATAGTTCTCTAAAATTAGATATGATGTAATACAACGTATATCCATTTTCAAATTATAATCAAATATAATTATTACTATTAGTTCCAAATATTTTTTCTTTCATTTGTCACAAGCTAATATAGATTTGTAACTTATCTATAAAATGTCAACAACTTTTATCTATACACAATGTAATGTAATGAAATATATACCTTAATAAAAATAGATTATTATCTAATTAAAGAATTTCACTTCATAAACAAATTTTACATATATAAAAACATTCATAAAATTAGTTTATACAAATTATCAAAGAAACAATTTACCAAAAAATGTCTTTTAAAAAATGAGTTATCTCCCTTTGTACAGAAATATGGTTTAACATACAAAATGTAGTATTTAAACATTAGATATGGACCATGATAACTCTGGACTAAATCATCAGACGAGAACCAAATTCGAACTTGATCTATAACTTGTCATGATAAAACTATATACCAAATATCAAATCAATATCTACAAGAACGAATGAAAAAAGTGTGGAAAACTGATTTGCCTGACTGACGAATGGACAGACGAACAGACGGATAGACAGACGGAGTGCAAATCTAAAGTCCCCTCGACTTTGTTGGTAGGGGACTAATAATATTCATGATAACCAAAAACTGCAAAATTTTCTTAAAATAACAAATTTAGTGGCAGCAACCAAAAAATCGGTTGTCCGACTTGTCTGAAAATTTCATGGCAGGTAGGTCTTGACCTAATGAACACTTTTACTTCCGTCAGATTTGCTCTAAATGCTTTAGTTTTTGAGATATAAGCCAAAAACTGCATTTTACTCTTATGTTCTATTTCTAGCCATGGCAGCCATGTTTTTTTTTTATGAAACTCTTAATAAAACACAAACTTTATACAAGATATCCTTAGGATCATTCAATATAAGTTTGGCTTCAATTGGTTCAGTAGTTTCAGAGAAGAAGAGTTTTTAAAGTAAACAAACATGATGAACAAATTGTGGAAAATTGTCTTTAAAGGGCAATAACTCCTTAAGGGGTCAATTGACAATTTTGTTCATAGTAACTTTTTTCATTTTTTCTGTTCACAGTTTATCTTTATCTTCAATAATATTCATGATAATAACCAAAAACACATTGACAAACTGATCACTATAGAGCATCAGCCACTTATTGTGGCATGGCGCTCAAAAAGACTTCATTATTTTTTTTTCAATTCTGCCAAAATTTAATATAAATATCTTTATAAGTAATTCATAAATGTACAAAATTTTCAGTTCCCCATTTGTATATTTGTAAATTTTGCACACCAATATTGATACTCAAAATTTGTGAATTTAAAAAAAAAAAACGGTTTGAGCCATAACCCCCCAAAGCCAATCCTAAACATCCCTTTGTGGTATGGAAACTTGTGGTATAATTTCAGAGAGATCCATACACTGTTCCACAAGTTATTGTCATGAAACTAGAAAAATGCTTATTTGGGCCCTCTTTTGGCCCCTAATTCCTAAACTGTTGGGACCATAACCCCTAAAATCAATCCCAACCTTCCTTTTGTGGTTATAAACCTTATGTTTAAATTTCATAGATTTCTATTTATTAATACTAAAGTTATTGTCTGAAAACGAAATGTCTTTGGTCGACGACGACGTTGAAGACGTGATAGCAATAAATGACCGCAAATTTTTTGGCGGCCGTATAAAAATTTTGGGGGAAAAGTAATTATTTATTTTTACCAAATCTTATAATGCATATCTTTACATGGTAATTACTGAATGTACAAAATTTCAGTTCACTCTTTTTATAGTTATGGAGATTGTATGCTCACAAAAACTGTTGACAGATGGACAAATAGACTGACAAAAGTGAAAACAATCAGGTAACAACATCCAAGATGTGGGGCTCTTATAAGTATGATATTTAAAACTCCATAAATCCGTCTCTCTGTTGATATATCAAATAAGCTTAAACCCTGAAGGCCCATTAAAGATTTCAAAATCATCAGCAGGAACATATATGTAGTTGAGGCATAAAAATAGCTGTTGACATGAAATTTCAATATTTTTTAAGGGATGGACCTTTTTTTTTCAGGGGAAGTAGGACAGTTGAAAAGAAATTCTGGCCTACTGCCACCATCAACAGCAACATTATGTTGATTTATCCCATTTCATAATTGATTTTATGTTATTCAGGTATACCATAGTATTGAATAAAATGAAACTATCCTCCTTGTCAAAAATACTATGAGGTGCTGAATAATATATGGTAGCTCTGTCTTCACTTGTCAGCTGTTCAGCCCGAGCAAGTTTTTCATAATGCTGATAGGACATTTCTAGAAGAGTAATGTACACCTGTAAAGACATAAATAAGAAATGTGAATGTTTGCAATAAATTGTTGTCCTTTTGTGAAACTCAATAAATCAAAGCTTGACAGATCTGTTGTAGATTTGACTCTTAAAAAAATTTGAAAGGCTTCCGCTGAACCCAGTGTCTCGCCTACTTTTGCTGTTGTCGATGTTTTCAGTGTGATAGGGGAATGTACATAATAGATTTACAGATAATGATATAAAACGTTTGAAATGTATGAAAAATGATATATTTGTAAAAAAATTTAATACAGTATACAATCAAATCTATAGATTTATAAAAGAGTAGAAATATAAATTTATTGAGTGAACAAATGATAAAGAAGATAATTTTTACATTGCTTGATGATTTATCCCTTAATTCATCAATAAAAATGCATGTAAGATAGAAGATGCAATTATAAAATTTTGTTCAAAATAATTGAAATAAAAGAAAAATGAAGAAGAAGAAAATCCTACACTTTCCTGTGGATATTTTGATCATTAACAAGCTTCTAAGTAAGTTTGGTAAAAATCTATTAAAATTTTAATAAATTGCTTTGCCGAGTGCAGCTTGATACGACCACAGAGGTCCAACCCTGAACAGTTGGGGCAAAAATGGACACAATATTCGCATTTGATACAGGTCTGAATTTGGATTGTAATTAAATATTTGACACATAATAAGTTTCTGGCACAGAATAAATGTAGTCAAAGAACTTGAATTGGTTATGTGATTTGAGTTTATATTCATTTTTTTGCTTTAATTTGTGAAATTCAAATTCCCAATGGAGTTTGCAACCAAAATAACCCATTTAAATACATCATGAAAGTCTTAAAATAGAAAATGACATTCATAATCATGGCTAAATTTTAAATTACCTTCATCAGCATTTTTAAAATAGTAACTTCTAAAAATAAATTGACAGCTAATCACCTCAAGACAATACATCATTTCTTTATACATAATTTAAAAGCTGTTTTAGGGGGGGTAATTCAAATAATGTGTTTGAATTACCTCCCTTACACTGCTTTAAATTATGTTTTGTACTAAAGTTATTGTCCATTAACCAGGACACCCTTGTTTTCCCCCTATTTTGCCCCTAATTCCTAAATGGTTTGAGCCATAACCCCCCCCCCCCCCCCCTCCAAGCCAATTCTTACCATCCTGTTGTGGTATGGAAACTTGTGGTATAATTTCAGAGAGATCCATACACCATTCACCAAGTTATTGCCTGGAAGCTAGAAAAATGCTTATTTGTGCCCCTTTTTGGCCCCTAATTCCTAAACTGTTGGGACCATGACCCCCAAAATAAATCCCAACCTTACTTTTGTGGTCATAAACCTTGTGTTTAAATTTCATAAATTTCTATTTACTTATACTAAAGTTATTGTAGGAAAACCAAATGTCTTCGGACAACGACGACCACGTGATACCAATAAACGACTGCAAATTTTTTCACCACAAAGTGAATGTTATGAATGTCAACTGGAAGAAAAACTAAGTCCTTTTATAAGTAAAATACGGAAAAACAGAAATAAATATTTTACTAAATTTTCTTCAAGATACTATCTTTAGATCATAAACAAGCTTCTGTCTTAGTTTAGTTTAGTAAACATCCAGGATAGTTTAAGAAAGTTATCAAAATTTTTAAAACTTTAACCACATAGTGAATTTAATGTTAACTGGCAGAAAAACTAAATACATTTATGAGTAAAATACAGATAAGCAGGATTTTTTTTCAAATTTTACTTCTGGATACTATCTTATGATCATAAACAAGCTTCTGTCCGCCCCCGCCGACGACGCAGACGACGGAATGTAGGACAAGTGGACTTTAGTCATGTTAAACCCTCAAGTTGGGTAATCTATCCTTGCAGTAACCCGACATTAACTATCTTCCTTCATGCACATCTATAGATGATGCCAAACCTTCCAATAAAATTTCGTCAAAATCCATTCAGAGAATTAGAAGGACTTGTGCTTACAAGGTATTAACATGTAAAACACTGAAGTTAGATTATCTCCCTTTGCAGGCACCAGACACTTATTATCTTTCTTCAAGTACATCTAAATGTGATGCCTAACCTTCCTATAAAATTTCCTCAAAATCCATAGATCTGTTTAGTCGGACTAACAAAAGTATGAAGATTATGGTTTGTATGTCATTGTCAGTCTTTGTTGTGATGCCCACATTGTTGCAATGGTTGCCTTTTGTTACAAGGTCTAGAGGGATAAAAACGGGATCGAGAAAAAATGTCTGGCTGGCTCAAATATTTTTTGGAAGCCCTGGCCCAGACAACCTCTGGCATTGGTGGAGTAAGGTTTTCTTGTAAGTTTTACTGAATTCCTTATGTAACAGAGGTGGTCGAAATGATCTCCCCTGATGTGATGAATTTGTTATCCTCATAAAATATAGATATAGAAATGAAAAACTTTAAATTTTCGATATGTTGTTAAGGAAATATAAACAATGACTGTTAAACAGCAATATTTCTACAACTGTTGTGTTTGAAGTTGATTAATTGATTGATTGATGGTGTTCTAACGACACCTTTTAGCTGCATTTTCTCCCTGTTCTATTTTTAGCAATGGTGGCCATGTTTTTTGACGAGACAATTAATAAAACACAAACTTTATTCTAGATACCCTAAGGATCATTCAGTTTAAGCTGAATAAATTAGTTCAGCAGTTTCAGAGGAGAGGTTTTTTTAAAGTTAACAAACACGATGAACAAATTGTGGAAAATTGTATTAAAATCAATCGGGTCCAGGACCAATCCAGTATATCTTATTATAATCCTTTGTAATTGATTTCATTTTCTATGTGCATACATTTAGAGTAATTTAGAGCTGGTAAACTCGGTGTATGATAAATGTTTCTGATTATGGAATACATTTTTCTGCATTTATTTTCATATTTTTCAAGAAATTCACACTTTCATGTTTGTAGCATAATTATTGTGTGTGTATTTTTAGAATAGAAATCCAGATCAGGTCTGGGTTTTTAATAATAAAAAAGGTATTTCCGTTATGGTCATGTAGACATAGGCCTAGGATAAAAAAGTGTGACCGACGAACAGATGGAAAGACAAACATCTTGATCACTGTAAACCCGGCTATAAAGTGGGGATTAATAAGGCTTAATATTGGTTTTTATCAAAACAAATAATTCATTAAGGTTTTACCATTGTTTTATCAATAATCATTCCAGGCATAGTTAGTGTTGATGGTTTTTCATTTTTTACATCTGAATGTCGTTCCATGTAGTTGTGCAGATCTAGCAAGAGTTCTCCAGCATGCTGTCCTAAGGTATGCATCCCAACATCTATCTCTATCCTAGGTTTGAAACTTTTTTCAGTTTGGAGTGGGTTTTGTTTCAGTGCCTCAGAATAGCACCTATGTTCATCAGACTCAGTTGGTGAAGTTGGTGTAGAGGAAGAGGAAGATGAGACAGTATAACGTCTCCTTTTTGCTCTCTTTTCTGAATCCTCCTGTTGTTTCCTTTTCAATTTTTCTTCTTCTGCATACTGGCCTTTATTCTTTACCTGAAAAATATCTAATTCAAGTGACCAATGCTAATACTCATGATCTTTAAGTATAACTGTTACATCTTCTGAAACCTGTTATGTTCCAAATCCCATACACATGAATTGCACAAAGAAAGCAAAGAATGTGCATGAAACACCCACGAGATCCACGAAACAAGATCAAGATCATAACTCGTAAGTTCAGAAATATATCTATATTTTTCATTTGCTTTTACAGTATAAATCAGAAAATTTTTACATTTTAAATTATGAATGAATATAAATAACTAAGCAGATCACAGCTTGATATGAACAACGATGTTGAACCCTGAACAGTTGGGGCAAGTATATATATGGAGTTTAGACACTGTATACATATATATATTCTTTTATATGTTATCTCATCCGAAATTTTATGCATTTTTAATGCATTTTCATTTCTATGTATATTATTTTTTAACTCTGTAACCTTTGTACTTACATGGTTTTATGAGAATAACCTATCTATCTATCTATCAACTCAGAGACAAGTGTACATGAAGACACATTAGACAAGTGTACATGAAGACACATTAGACAAGTGTACATGAAGACACACTAGACAAGTGTACATGAAGACACATTAAACAAGTGTACATGAAGACACATTAGACAAATACTAATGGAAAGGCTTTAACAAATTGAATGAAAAATCAACTCGAATATTGCCTATAAACTGAAAATTTTTCTGAGAGAGGTTCTGTGGTGTTAAACATTAAAACATAGGATGTTTACTACCCCAATAGAAATTGTCATGAAGATTTAATGAAATTATTTGATTTTTACACCTTATATCATTGCGTCATACCATGTATTTGGCAGATAACATAGCCTGATGTAAACACTGCATAAACTCACAATAATCCCATTTATCATCTCAAATGAAAGTTTTATACCTTAAAGTTTATTAACTGATGGTAAATAAAAACAGTAAAATGACCATAACTGCACTTTTGATCAATTAATAGTCCCATTATTGACACCAGGTGAAAAAAAGGGGGTCAGTATTTATACCTATTCTTAACAACTCTTACTCACATATTCTTTATCTTTTGATTTGAGCGTGCTTGTTTTTATATGACAGTTTTTTCAGGTCTCGTATCTCGTTAGACGAAGCAAACCTGCACGGTATATTCTGCATTTGTATAGTCCAAAGTTAACTAATTGATATTCTTATTTGACATGTTAAATGAATGAACAATTATAAACAAAAAAAACAAAAAACTTCATTCATTTCGAAATATAACACTGTTGATCTAGAGTGAAAATGAAGTCACAGCTTAATTTGACTTCCGAAAATCGGGGAAAGGGGAGGGGGCAATTCAACATTTTCGTGGAAGGGTGAACAGCTGTGATTATACTTTCTTTAGGTAGAAATGCCTTAAGAACAATTAAAGCCCCAGTATATCTCACTGAAAAATTTAAAGAAATGCCAGAAATAAAACAATATTGTTTGAGGAATGTGTCTTGCAAAAATTTACAAGTTCCAAAAGCCAAAACAGAGCTGTATAAGAAATCTTTTATATATTCAGGATCTATTTTATGGAATAACTTACCAATATCCCTGAAAAAATCAACCTCAAGTACAAGCTTGTTCAAAAAAGATTTAAAAAGTTACTTGTTGGAACAATAAGAAGCTGTGTAATTTTATATGCATAATAATTTTCACACACTTACTCAAACTTAAGATATTGTTGAGTTAATTTGAATGCTGCCAATACGTACTATATAAATTTGTAATTTTTACCTGTTTTGAAAATTGTATATTTCATAACAATTTTTTATTTCATTTTTCATATATGTGTGTATGTTTGATATTTTGTAATTGTTTGTTATAATATATTTCATTGTATTTCATGAGGGCCTCAGGGAAAATTAGTTTTACAGCTAACTGTGTAACCCTCTTTAAATAAAGAATTATTATTATTATTAAATTTTGGACTTATACTATACATATTCTAAACCACTCTAAAATTTTGTTCCCCCAAGTGTTACAAGTCATGGAGATTTCGGGTCTGACCCTAAACTTCATATTTATTTCTATTTCCTAACTGTCCTAGCTTCTATTTTGTACAATCTGAACAATAATCTAATCCTCCCGACCTCACTAAGATTTAATGCCAAACGCTAGAAGTATTACAGGTACACCTTTCATTTGGTCATGGCTTTCAAATGTCTAAATTTAAGTGTTCCCGTACATTTTTGGCCTAAAAAGGACAATTAAAAACTAACTCTAGTTTCCCTTTTTTATGAGACATAAATAAATGATAAGAGTGTATATCATTTCATTCTGACACCTGAATTTAGTTTGCTGACTTTAACCAAAAATTGTTCATTTCTTAGTTTATTAACTAATTTGAATTCAAATAAATAATAGCACCAAATGATAATTAAATAATTCCACGGCGATCTATTTGTATTTGTCACCACCTTGAACATGTATTTTAAATTTGTGTATTAAACTCGACCTCCTGTCTTATAAACCACTGATCCGAATAGACAGTCACACCTGGCACGGTGTGCCCTAGAGGCCCGGCTAATTACCAATCTGCAAATAACATTTTACCTTTTAACAAGCCTTCCACGAGTATTGCCAGAGAATAATACACAAATCGTATAAACCTAGTCATAGCATAGATAGTAAAAGGTCAATAAGCATAAACCTATATATTGTCTTTACAGTTTAAGTTATATACTTTAATTTGTTCACATTATCAGTCTGAAAAAGCTTATATTAAAACAAAATCAAAGCACTGTAAGCGCTGTAGGCAGTTAACCAAAAACCAAGGCAAATGTAATTATGAAAACCGTGGCAGTGTTGCTTCAATTTTTTTTTTAAGATTTGAAAGAACAAACATTAAACATCGTATATTGTACATTTGTGTTCATTAAATGAATTGATTATTAAGGTAGATTCATGGTATACCGCCATCTTGGATTGTACAATCCCAGTACAAAATCGGTCTAGTTATTTGCCTAAATCTGCAAATTTGGAGACAGATTTACAATTTATTGGTCAGACTGTTTATTTATGTAAATAAAAATTGGTGATTTATTGTATAAATCAAAATATTTAAACAAATATCAAATTTTGTGTTTTTAGAATCAATTTTTTCAAATAAGCCATTTCAGGGAAGATAACTCTTTTGGTAAAAAATATATACTGGACTGATAGGGAAATTCTGAATTTTTACTTGTAGCAAGAAAACAAGTTCGGTGACACCATTTTTTCTTTTTATTTTCTTAAAACATATTATAAAACCTATCTTCTCACAATTTATTTCAAAATTCTATCTCATAGATTTTTTTTTATGCACACAAATGTGTTTTTTCATGAACAATCTAACCAAATTTAGGCAATTTTCAACGACTCATAGCTTGGAAAATAGCACGGTGACCCATACTTTTTATTATATTTTTGAAAAAAGCATAGCAAAATCTTCATTTTGGCAAAGTATAAGAAAATTCTATCTCGAGAAATATATACCTATGATCTACCTTAAGGCAAATTAATTAATATTTCATCAAGGTTTTAAAAAGCAACTCATATATCAATGTAAATGACCCCCATCTTCACTCCCAAGTGCATGATGTTACTCCATACCAAGTTTGGAATAAAATGACAGGTGATATTAAAACAGTTGGTCAAACATTCTCGGCTTTACACTGCTTGAAAGATTTATATGTTTTCTTTAAAATGAGCCATAAATGAAAATTATTATAGGCCCAGAAATAATTTAATAAATAATTAAAGTAAATTCAATAAACATATAAACCTAGACTCATTTTTTGCATCAATAAAATTTTATAATAAACAAGAAATAATTTAACAGGATGCCGTTACAAAGTCTCCCAAACAAAGCCCCCATAATTCGTCATTCCCATGGTCTCCTGACATTGGCCAAAGTCCAGTTCATATTGTTTTGGTCTAGTAAAGTGATATGCATATGTGACACCTAGGAGATTGACCCTGTATGTCATTCACATCTTTTTGAAATGATGAACAGGAATAAATATGGTTTAGGTGTGGGTACCTCAACCATTTCCAAGTTCTCAAACAGGAGGGGTTGGGGTGATCCCAGGGACTCCCCATATATTTCATTTGATTTGTTATATTGTCCCATACATGAATACATATGGTTAAGGGGTGGGGATCTCGACCATTTCCAAGTTCCCAAACAGGAGGGGGTGGAGTGACCCCAGGGACTCCCCAAATATTTCATTTGATTTGTTATATTGTCCCATACATGAATATATATGGTTTGGGGGTGGGGATCTTGACTGTTTACAACAAGAGGGGTTGGGGTGTCCCCATGGACTCCCCCTATATTTCATTTGATTTGTTTTATTGTCCCATACATGAATATATATGGTTTAGGGGTGGGGATCTCTACCATTTCCAAGTTCTCAAACAGAAGGGGGTAATGACCCGAGGAACTCCCCATATATTTCATTTGATTTGTTATATTGTCCCATACATGAATATATATGGTTTAGGGGTGGGGATTTTGACTGTTTACAAGTTCGCAAACAGGAGGGGTGGGGTGTCCCCAGGGACTCCCCATATATTTCATTTGATTTGTTATATTGTCCCATACATGAATATGTATGGTTTAGGGGTGGGGATCTCGACCGATTACAAGTTCTCAAACAGGAGGGGGTGGGGTGACCCCAGGGACTCCCCTATATTTCATTTGATTTGTTTTATTGTCCCATACATGAATATATATAGTTTAGGGGTAGGGATCTCGACCATTTCCAAGTTCTCAAACAGGAGGGGGTGGGACGACACCGGGGACTCCCCCAAATTATTTTCATTTGATTTCTTTTATTGTCCCATAAAAGTATATATATTGTTTAGGGGTGGGGATCGCGACGGTTTGGTTGATTTTTTTTATTGTCCTGTTCTCATTACTGAAGATTGCATGTGTCTATCACTTACTGTTTTCGATAAATAGTCATTTGAAAATTTAAAAAAA